GGAGAAGGGAGGGTGGTTGGCATGGGAAAATGTAGTATCTTCTAGGAAAGAGGTAAGGTCAGGGAGGTGACAGGAGCAGTACATGGTGTGGCAGAATGATATATTCCAGGGGCAGGAGAGACAGGAGGGTGGGTAGTGGGTTGTGGGGATAGTATCTTCTAGTAGTTTGCCACAGGGGATGAAGGGAACAGAGGGAAGGATAGATGTGGTGAAGGTATTCGATTGTGGGGAGGGGTGTGTATCTTCCATGTTGAGTCACTGGGGCAGAGTGAGAGATAGAGTGTATGGTATCTTCCAGGAATGACCCACAGAGTGGGGGACCTTTCCTGACTTTACTGTGCCCCCACAGGTAGATGCCTGGAAAATATCCTCAAAATTGTTATAGTTTTCCTGTTGCCTCTATCCATATTTCCTCAGCCTCTATCCATACTTCCTGGAAAACAACCACTCAAAACCATCTAAACATAATGTGTCCCCCTTCACCATTGGTTGTTTCTGGAAGGTATCATCCACCATGCCCCCTGTCTTTTCCTAGACCCTGTGGTACATTCCTATAACACACCTCACTCCACCATCTACCCGCTAATCTCCCCCGCCCCTGTGGATCATTCCTGGAAGATACCATCCTGTTACACCCTTTCTGTATTTATAATGGTGGATGCTGGGCAGGAATGACCCCCAGTTGCAGGAGAAGACAGGTGTGGGACAATGGTATCTTCCAGGAATGATCCACTGGTTCAGAAAGGGAGACAGGAAGTATGAAGTTATATAGAGTTTACTGATGGTATCATCTTGGAATGAGCCAGGGTTATGGGGGAGAAGGGAAGGTAGATAGCCTGAGGAGATGGTGTTTTCCAGGAAAGAGTCAGGGTCAGGAGAGAAACAGGAAGAGTAGATAGTGTGGCAAGATGGTATCTTCCAGGAATGATCAAAGGGGACCTGAGGAAGATAGAAAGGGCGTTGGTTGTATGGGTAAAATGGTATATTCCAGGAATGTCCCACAGGAACAGGGGGAGACAGGATGGATGGTTCTCCTGGAATGGCATCTTCCAGGAATGATCCATAGAGAATGGGGGGAGATAATGAAATATGGATGAAGAAAGGTGATGATATATTTCCTGAATGAACTAGAGTCAGGGGACAAGAAAGGAAGAAATGATTGTAGGGCAGGTTTGTGACTTCTAGGAAGGATCCCAAGAAACTTTGGCAAGACAAATTGTTGTGAGTGGGATGGTATCTTCCAGGAGTAGACACAGGTAGAAACTAAAAGTGTGGATGATGTTGGTGGGATAGTATCTTCCAGTAATGAATCATAAAGCCAGTATGTCAGGGAAAGTTGGATGATGTGTGGGTTATAGTGTAGGTCAGGAATGAGGATCCTGTAAAGTGGATGGTCAGGAACCATGCATTCTTGTAGAGAGATCTATCTTCCAGGAAGTGGGTGTGTGTGTGTATGGATGGCATCTTCCAGGAATAGTCCCAATGTGCCATGGGAGGAGCGGGTAACATGGTGGAAAATGTGAGGTGGAAAGAAGTATATTCAAGGAATTCTTTATATGGGCTTAGGCACTCAAGATGGTATCTTCCAGGAATGGTCCACAGGGGTAGTGGATGCCATGGATTGCATTGAGGAGAAGAAATATTCTGGGAATAATCCATTGTTTCAGGGAGGGGAGAAAAGATGTGTGGATGTCTTAGAGTAGATGGTATGTTCCAGGAATGATGGTATGTTCCAAGGGAAGATAAGAAGGGTGGTTTGGTGTTGTAGGTATGATTTCATCCAGGAGTGATCCAAAGTGTGGGAGGACACAAAGGAACCTGTTGGTAGGGGGAGTATTTTCCAGGAATGAGTCAAGGAGGCTGGAGAAAGGCAGGAAAGAGTAGATGTGGTGGGGATGGTAACTTCTAAAAAGGACCTATAGTAACCTAGGGAGACAAGAAAAGTTCAATGGTGTTGGAAGATGGTATCATATATTCTGGGAATGATTCACTGAATAGTGTAGGGGAGACAGGAAGGGTAGATGTTTTAGATGGGATGACATCCCACAGGGGTAGGGAGAGACAGTAAGGGTGTATATTGTTGGTAGAATGGTATCTTCCTGGAATGAACCACTGTGTGAATGCGGTAGATAGGAAAGCATAGAACTTTTAGAGGTTGGTAGTGTCTTACAGGAATCGGCCAGGGTGATAAGGCAGACCAGAAGGAGAATTTTATGGGGAAATGTTATTTTCTAGGAAAGGGCCAAGCTCCTGGTGGCAAGTAGGGAGAACAGATGATTTGGCCATTACTATATTCCAGGAATGATCCACTGGGGATGGGGGCGGAGGAAGGGGTGGATGTTGTTGGGGTTAGTATCTTCCAGAAATTACTCATAGAGGCTGTAGTGAAACACAATAGATTGGATATTGTGAAGTGGAATAGTATCTACTAGGAATGAGCCACTGGGGCTAGGTGGAATAGAAGAAGGGTGGATGGTGTCTTCCAGGAATGATCCACAAAGGCAGGGGAGAACAGGAGGGTGAATTGTAGCAGGTGCAGTGTCTTCTAGGAATGCACCATTAGGGGTGTGTGGGGGGAGACAGATATGGGTCTGGTGGGTGATAATTTCTGAGAACAACCACAGGCACAGGTGAAGATAGGATGTGTGGATAGTTTGGGGTAGATATCTTCTGGAAAGGATTGGAGGAAGGCAGCGAAGGAACAATGATTTTAGTGTATTGTATTTTCTAGGAACTTATCCACAGAGTTATGGGAAATTCAGAAAGGGTGTATGCTGGTACAGAATGGTATAGTCCAGGTATATATACAGCTACAGGGAGAGACAAGATGGATGAATGATGTTGAAATAATGTTATCTTCCAGGAACGATCCACTAGTTTAGAGAGGGTGGATGGGAAGGTGCCAGGTTCATGGGGAAGAAGGGAGGTTTGTTGGCATAGAGAAATATGATGTCTTCTAGGAAAGAGATGGGGTCAGGGAGGAAACAAGAGCAATGCCTGGTGTGGCAGGATGTTATATTCCAGGAATGATCCACAGGGGCAAGAGAGATGTGAGAGTGGGTAGGAGGGGTTGGATGTAGAGATAGTGTCTTCCACGAGCACACCATAGTGGCTTGGGGGGGGGAGGTAGATGTGATGGGAAAGGGTAGATGTGCTGGGAATGGCATGTTGTAGATTACCCAAAGGGGCTTGGGAGAAGCAGGAAAAGTTGGATGATTTGGGGGATGACATTTTCCAGGGACTATCCACAGTGGAGAAGGAGGCTACAAATGTTGATGGTATTGGTGGGATGGTATTTCCAGATACATCCCAAGGAGGTCAGGGGAACTTGATGTTCAATAATACGGAGGTGGTAATATCTTCCAGGAATAAGCCACAGGGGCCTCTGGGACTCAGGAAAAGGTAGATTTGATCAGGATGTTATCTTCCAGGGATGAGTCACATGCAAGAAGAGTCAACAAGGATGGATAGAGTAGGGGGATGATATCTTCCAGGAATGGCACAAAGAGCATGGGAAAACAGCATGGGTGGATGGTAGTGAGGAGTATCACCTTTCAGAAATGATCCACTGGGTGGCATAGGGGATGTTGTGAAGGGGATACTATCTTTAAAGAATGACCTGCAGGGAAAGCAGGGAGGGAAGATGGGGAAGACTGTGTTAGGGGATGGTATCTTCCATGAATGACCCACAGGATAGAGTGGGAGAGGGAGACCTGTGAATGATGTGTGAGATGGTATCTGCCTAGAAAGGCAGAGAGAACGGGGAACAGCTTTTGTGAACACCCTAGGATGGGAAGGAGATTGGCAAGTTTAGCAACTGAATGGTCAGTGTGCCTGGATCATAGAGATGGCAAGATCATGCTGTGTAAGGGAAGGAAGGTTGGAGTACTGGTTGAGCACCCTGTGGTACAATGTATATTGGCTACATTCAAGATTTAACCTTTCTCCATTTTAGGCCATTGAAGGTTTTGTTTGGTTTTGGATTTGTTTATTTGTTTGGTTTGTTTTTTTTTTGAGACAGGGTCTCGCTGTGTAGCTTAGATTGGCCTGGAACTTGCGATCTGCCTGCCTCAACTTCCAGAGTGTTGGGATTACAGGCATTTACCATCACGCCCAGTTTATCACTGAAGGGTTTTAAGTAGAAAGGTTTTTGGAGTTTTGCACTTTTTAAAAAGTCCTCATTGTGTATAAGATGGCAAAAGGTACAACAGGGGATGTAGAATGACTAGGTAGGAGCTACTACTTTTATGGTCTAGATGAAGGACTGTACAGTACCCTGGACCTGGGTAGAAGCAAAGGAGATGAAGTGGTGAGGATCTTCATTAAAATAGTTGAGAAGAAGTGTCCTCAGTGATCCCTGGCAAGCATATTTACCCTTTAGACAAAGCCATTTGAAACTAACCCATAATTTCTTGGCAATTAGAAATTTGGTGACATTTTCTATCATGCCACTCCCCATGACCCATCTAGACTGTTCCTGGAAGATGCTTTCCACACCATCTGCTGTTCATTGCAATCCCCCATTTCATGGAAGATACCATCTCGCCATACTATTTATTTTCCTCAGGAGTTAACAAATGTGTTCCTTAGGAAGTTGAGCCCACAAGGTTTTCTGTTTGTTGTGATGGTACTGGAGTTTGAACTCAGGGCTTCATGCTTGCTAGGCAGGCACTCTACCAACTTGAGCCTACTCCCGGCCCTTTTTTGCTTTAGCTATTCTTCATGTAGGGTCTCATGTTTTTCTCTACAGAGACCAGGATCCTCCTACCTATGACCACTCACTTTGCTGGGATTGCAGATATGTGCCACCAGTCCCAGCCTATTATTTGAGTTTGGCCTCACTAACTTTTTGCCTGTTCCTGTGCTCTACCTTTAAAGTAGCTGGGAATATAGGAGTGAGCACCTGACCTTTTTGTTTTCCAAAAGCAATAGAAGTACTTTCTAATCGTGTTACATTGCATTTTGGAAACACGTAACTTCTGCTCTTGTTCCCTGTATAGGACTGCTAAGGAGTTTGCTTCTCTTTTTGTGAACATCAATGTGACCTCTGAGCCCCATGAGGTGTCTGCACTATGGTTCTTGTGGTATGTGAAGCAGTGTGGTGGCACTACTCGGATATTCTCAATCACCAATGGAGGCCAGGTACAGTGTAGCTGTTCAGAAATAAACTTTATTTGTAACTTTGCTCTCACCCAGAGAAATGTCTTAATTGCTTTAGTATTTCCAATCATGAAATAATTAGCAGTGTAAAATTATCTCAAAAAACATGCCTGAAAAAATCTTGTTTCCTTTTTTTCATTCCTGAAAAGAAGTTGACAGCCAAAGAATGTTTCATTTTGAATTAATTAGGTCTTGAGAATTAAGTTCCTTCCTTTTGGACGTAGGAAAAATTAAGCTATTTATGTAGGAGAAGTTAAATTACTAAAAGAAGTTAATTTCCAAAAAATTCTAGTACTTGTGGAATTATTATACTTAAAATCATCTCTCTTCTAGACATAAGACCAGGGCTTTGCTACATCTGTTTCTCAGTTATTCTTTTATGTTAACTATTATAGAATGGAAATGATTATTCTTCTAATTCACACAAGTGATTTGATGATTTGTGACCACTCTTTCCATAGTAAATTCTATAGTTCAGATCTAAATTTTTGCTGTCCTCTTGCATTTGTCAAGCGTCCATACTACTTCCATTGCTAATGAGTGAACTCACTTGATTCATTGGCTGGACACACAACAAACCAGTGGCAAAGCCAGAATTATAGTTCCCTGATTCCTCAGATGCCAATATTACTTATGTCAAAGTTCTCCTATAACTAAAAAATATGAGTGTTTCTTTTTTAGGAACATTATGCTTGGGTAGGATGAAGTTTAATTAGTAGCTGTTTACTTCTGTTCTCTGAATCCCAGAATTCTGAGTGCATTTTATAAAGTGTTGTCTATCTCCACCAAGTTAACTATTCCTCTCCTTAAGAAATCACCAGAAGTCAACTTTTTCTTGTAACACTAAGAGTTACTGCTCGTTGGAACCCTAGTTTTGGCAAATGCGTTTTAAGTGTCTTTACTTATAGGCAGAAACCATGTATTACTCCTATTAACCTATAATTTATTTTGTGAGGTATCTTGACTCATGTCTGTTATTTATATCCTTCATTCAGAGGTTCCAGAATACTTCTAGGAAAACCCTACATGATCTCTTGAAAAGTAAAGTTCAAATTATGAATCTCAAGCCATTATCACAATATCTCTATAAAGAACTTAAGTTTCTCCTTTTATAATTTAATTAAACAAATACTAAAGGTGGAAGGATGATAGTGAAGAAGATAGAAGTAGTTCGTGGTCTTTCCACTACACTAAAATTTAAAGCAATTGGAAAACCTAAGTCAAGTTATACATTAAATGGTACCAGTTTTTTGAAGGACAAATAATAAATTAAGTCTAAACCACTATGGGAGCCATTTTATGAAGAACTTTGGTATTGTCAGTAAAACAGCAACCAGTTATAAAAGTACAAAAATTACTGCATGGCTATTCATGATTGAAGTACCTCATTGTCAGTGGTGACCTATGTCTCAGTTTACCAACATGTATTTCTAACCACTCAAAGAATCTTCTCTAACAGTTTAACAGTATTCTCCTTGATTCTTGCCAAATGCATTGTGTTGATGACTTACTTTCTTAGATTAAGCTAGAACTTTCCATGGTGTATGTAGCAGATCTCAGGGAGCAGAGCACTTCTGATCCTATCGAGCTATTTTTAACATCTAAAGGAATAAGCAGGTACTTAGCCTTCTCCTCTGCCTCTGTTACAAAACCTTCAGACAGTTTTCCAAAAAGTTACTCAAGAGCAGATTCAGATCCCTGGAACCTCATTTGGTAATGACTGATGGGCATGGCTAGCCCTAAGAGCATCCTGAGGCTATTCTCTTAGATCATGCTGTCTATAGCATGGGCACTACCTATGTTCTTTCCTGCCCAGACAATCCTAACCTGGAACTTCAGGAAGCTATGAGAAGTTAGAAACCACATCCCTTGGAACAAGTGCGGCTCCCTCCCCTTCCTACCCACACTCTTGGGCATTTAAAGCCCACAGACTTGCTATTTCCATTTGGTCAGAGAAGCACTGGCATAGGGAGAGAGTTCTTTCTGGTCTGTGATTTTATAAACAATTAATGGCTTTTCCTTGTTAGAAACTGTGCAGAGGGTGATAAGTGAGGTGCCTTGGTAGACTCTACCTCTATCATAATAATTTTTCCAACAGTTAAGTGTGCCAAGGGTGGAGGTCTGGCTGTGGTTTTCTGGTGTACCAAATATTCCACTGTTCCTTTCCTTCCTTAGGCTTTTATAATCTTCCTTTTCTGTCTACCTCCTCCTGTAGGAACGGAAGTTTGTAGGTGGATCTGGTCAAGTGAGTGAGCGGATTATGGACCTCCTTGGGGATCGAGTGAAGCTGAGCCGTCCTGTCACCTATATTGACCAGTCAGGTGACAACATCATTGTAGAGACACTGAATCATGAACTGTATGAGGTAATTAATTTTTGGAAAGAGTTGCTTATAGTAAATAGATCTTGCATCTCCTCCAGCTTCTAATCAAATATAATCCAAGCAGTGGTATGATTAATGTTGGCATGTATCTATTTCAGTCTTCCAAATTACTAGCCTTGGTTGACCTACCTTATTCTGTTTTGTTGCCTCACAGTTGCCTCATTTTGTATGTTGTTACTGCTCCATGTGATTCAAAAACGATCAATGATCATTTTCCATATCCTCTGCAAAGATTGTAGCTCATCTTTATGGTGATATTTTGCATATTTGTGTTTTAGTGCAAATACGTAATTAATGCCATCCCTCCGACATTGACTGCCAAGATCCACTTCAAACCAGAGCTTCCACCAGAGAGAAACCAGTTAATTCAGCGTCTTCCAATGGGGGCTATCATTAAGTGCATGATGTATTACAGGGAAGCCTTCTGGAAGAAAAAGGGTAGGCTGCTCTTATTTGTGTTTAAACTTTATTAAGTGAAGGAAACACATTCTTTTAGGAATATTGAACAGGAGGCATTGACTGTAAAAGGGGAAATGCTTTCAAATTGGTAGAGGAAGAATTGCAAATCTGTCTTTCAATTTCTTTATACCCTCTGGCAATACAAAATGACTCCAAGAGCACTTGATGGCAATGGGAGGGAAAGGAAGACCCCCAGTGAGTTGTGGGGCCACCATTGCCCTGGCTCCCTGCCAGACCACTCACTCCTCATCAGCAGAATGAGGCCAAGGAGCCCTGTGAGGAGAGTGCTGCTTTGAAGTCAGGTATTCCTAGGCTTCATTTACCTACTAACATCAGTAATGCCTACTGTCAGGGTGTTGGGAGGATTAAATGAGGCAGGGTTTGGCACTTCATAGACTCTCCAGATATGGTGACTGCTGTTGATAATCTCCTGTTCATACTCAACAGGATCCTTTCTCACAAGGAATTTCCAGGCTTGATAGAGGTGACTCCTTCCAATAAATCCCTCTCTTTTCCCATGTATCCAAGCATCCAGGGCTGTCTCACCATTTTTGCTTTGTACTGATTGTGAGCCCTTTATATAAATGTAATAGAGATGGGTCATTTCCCACATGCATGGAGGAATAGATATCCTTGTATAGTGTGTATATTTAACAGGAAATTGCTTCTAGGGTTGGGGCAAAGACCAGTAGTGTAAGATTTGCCTTCCTCTTACTAAAATAGTTTATATACATTGTGTGTGTGTGTGTGTGTGTGTGTGTATGGTTGAACTCAATACCCTGTGGATTTTCTTCTCGTTAAGATTATTGTGGCTGCATGATCATTGAAGATGAAGAAGCTCCAATCGCAATCACTCTGGATGACACCAAACCAGATGGATCGGTGCCTGCCATCATGGGGTAAGTTAGAGCTGGGTGTTCTGCATTTCCCAAATTGTGTTGTTATAGATGCTGACAAAGTATATTATTTTGTGATTCAGCTCAAACAATGATAAATAACCATACAAAACTTGTTGTGTTTTCATTAGTTAAACGATTTACAGTAATATTTTATGTGGGGTGGCATAAGAACACTGGGAAACTACTAAAATTGACACCATTTTGAATTTGTGCCCATATATTTCTTCTCTTATAAAACTTACATGTTCCAGATGGAGTGGAAAAATCAGCAGTATGGTGGTGAATCTTGCCTAGAAGTAGAATGCTAACAATCATTCTGGAAAGAGAACTGTTTTATCCAATAAAAAATGAAGGGTTTCTATGTTTTATCTTTTTCTCCATTCCAAACACCTGATACATAACAAATGTAAGACGTTACATACAAGATGACTGACCAATTAGGAGGTACGGTTCAATTTTGGGTCAGGCCTTGAGGGGATGGCATATTGCTTTCTCTGGTTGGCCACTCCACAGTTATCCTTTACCACCAGTGTTTCCTTTACCCTTGGAATTACACAGATGGTACACAGAAGAAGAGAGCTGTGTGCAAGGATGGGGGAAAGGGGAAAGCTTTCTTCTTCTGTAGCAACTTCCTGCTGGGGGACTAGGGGCCCAGAGAAGGAACTAGGACTGTCATAAAGGAAATGCTAAGAAGGATCACAGCTTCCCAGTTGCCTACCCTTTGGCCTTAATTGATGTACAAACTAAAAGCTCTCTGTTCTCCCACACTGCAAAGAATACAGCTTCAAGAGCAGTCAAGTGGCTTTTAGGGACTGGTGGTTTTCCCTTTGCTCTTTGGGAAATGCATGCCTTCAGGCAGGGCCTGAAGGGAGAGTGAGATAGTGTGCATAGTGTCATTTTAGGAAAATTACAAAGACAAAAGAAGCTGTCCCAAGGGATTTTGGAAGCAGGCTCTGTTACTGGGTTGCTAACAATACATTTTGTAATCACTTCACTGGCTGTAAAACATAAAAAATAGCACTACACTTCCTGAGAAGTGTAGATACTTACAATGTAATGACCATGGAAGCAACACATCCTCTTTATCTCTAGCCCCACTGGGCAAGAAAGGATCCAGGTAGTTTTGGCAGCTTGACATCACCTTCTGTAGGCTAGAGAAAAGCAGGAGATCATGGGATAGGTTTCAGGAGAGTATCAATTAAGACCAGTTCAATTATATAGATGGGAGAAGATTGATGTTCTTCTTGCCTTGGGAATTATAGTGACATTTGCTCTTCTGGGGTGGCTTTGGCTTTATAACTGGGATCTGTGTAGTAGGACCCTTCAAGATATTAATGTGGTAATATAGGCAGTTCCTAGAAAATGATTTTCTAATCTGTTTTATTTATCTATTTATTTGTTTTATTGACAAAAATAATTGTATATATTTGTGTGGTACAATGTGATGTTTCAATGCATATCTACATTGCGGTATGATCAGATCAGACTCATTAGCATATTCATTACCTAAAATAGTTGTCCTTTTTGTGGTAAGAACATTTAAAATCCTCTTTTAACTATTTTGAGCTATACAATACATTATTAATTAACTATAGTTACCATACTGTACAGAAGATCAACAAAACTTATTTCTCCAGTCTAACTGGAACTTTGTACCTGTGGGAGATTAGAATATATCTCTCCAAAATATGAAGAATCATTGAGCTGAGGACAGTTAATGCACGAAAGCTCTCTGTCTTGCCTTTGTTTGCCTAAAAGCAGGACAGAGATTTACAAGGACACAAGGTCTCTCTGTCCTCCCACTCTCCCTTCCCACTTAAAGATAGGAGGTAAGAAAATTCTCCTCTTCTGGCAACAACCCTTCAATAGCCCAGAGACACAGACAGTAATAGGAATCTGCAAGCCAACTTTACCCCACTAGTGTCTCTTTCCATATATTTTCTTTCTCAGTTTCCCACCTTTGGAAGCCTAAAACTGCTTTTTTTTAACCTTTAAAATTTATTAGCCTTTGTTAGATATACAGTATAAACAAGACTCATAAACTACTACCTTGAGTTACTTTTCACCAAAGTGTCTCCCACTTTGATGTGCACCACATGTGAAAATAAATTTGCTTGTTTTTCTTTTGTTATGTAAGTCTGCCCCAACTTTGAATTTATGAGTTGAGGAGAAATTATATTTTCTCCTTCATACCTGTTGATCAGCTACTCCTGCTTTATCAGGACATTTGCCTGCACCCTGAACTTTGTTCTTGATAATGAAAGCCTTTAAGATATATCAGCTCCACTTTGCTCTTTGCACTTAGCCATGAAAGTTTCAAAGATAGAGGTGATAATTTCTCAGTACTGTGTTTGTAATAGCCATCAGCTTTTGGAAATTGGAAAAGACCTTGTACTTTAGAACTATAAAATGTCCCCAACACAAAGCCAGCATGTTTGATTTTCACAATAACCACCAAAGAAAGTTGAAGGATGTTTGTCCATAGTTTAAGATTAAAGAGACTATTTCAACCACAACTTGAACTTTGACAGAAATAGCCAACACTAACTGTCATTTGGGAAAGGACTTTTAAAAAAAAAGCCATACAGCTGAGCACTAGTGGTTCATGCCTGCAATCCTAACTACTTAGCAAGGAGGCTCTCGGTTCGAGGCCTGCCCAGGCAAAGAGCAAGACCCTATCTCAAAGAACAAGCCAGGCATGGTGGCACACACCTATCTATAATGTGGGAGGCCTAGGTAGGAGGATTACAGTCTAAGGCCAGACTGGACAAAAAGTGTGAGACCCTATCTGAAAAATAATTAAAAGAAAAAGGAATGACTCAAATAAGGTCCTGAGTAGAGAGAGAGAGAGAGAGAAGGGAGGGCAAGGAAGAGAAGGAAGGGAAGGAGAAAAATACGTTTTAGTGGTACTGGGTTTTTTTGTATGTTTAGGTTTTTTATTTTTATTGGCAGTACTGGATGTTGAACTCAAGGTGTGCTGCTTGCTAGGCAGGTACTCTGCCTCTTGAGCCATTCCACCAGCCCTTTTTTTTCTTTTATTATTCATATGTGCATACAAGGCTTGGGTCATTTCTCCCCCCTGCCCCCACCCCCTCCCTTACCACCCACTCCGCCCCCTCCCTCTCCCCCCCCACCCCCTCAATACCCAGCAGAAACTATTTTGCCCTTATCTCTAATTTTGTTGTGGAGAGAGTATAAGCAATAATAGGAAGGAACAAGGGTTTTTGCTGGTTGAGATAAGGATAGCTATACAAGGCATTGACTCACATTGATTTCCTTCTAGGTTAATTATTTTTGATCTAACCTTTTCTCTAGTTCCTGTTCCCCTTTTCCTATTGGCCTCAGTTGCTTTTAAGGTATCTGCTTTAGTTTCTCTGCGTTAAGGGCAACAAATGCTAGCTAATTTTTTAGGTGTCTTACCTATCCTCACCCCTCCCTTGTGTGCTTTCGCTTTTATCATGTGCTCATAGTCCAATCCCATTGTTGTGTTTGCCCTTGATCTAATGTCCACATATGAGGGAGAACATACGATTTTTGGTCTTTTGGGCCAGGCTAACCTCACTCAGAATGATGTTCTCCAGTTCCATCCATTTACCAGCGAATGATAACATTTCGTTCTTCTTCATGGCTGCATAAAATTCCATTGTGTATAGATACCACATTTTCTTAATCCATTCGTCAGTAGTGGGGCATCTTGGCTGTTTCCATAACTTTGCTATTGTGAATAGTGCCGCAGTAAACATGGGTGTGCAAGTGCCTCTGGAGTATATCCAAGTATATCTTGGGGTATATCCCCAAGAGTGGTATTGCTGGATCAAATGGTAGATCGATGTTTAGCTTTTTAAGTAGCCTCCAAATTTTTTTCCAGAGTGGTTGTACTAGTTTACATTCCCACCAACAGTGTAAGAGGGTTCCTTTTTCCCCGCATTCTCGCCAACACCTATTGTTGGTGGTGTTGCTGATGATGGCTATTCTAACAGGGGTGAGGTTGAATCTTAGTGTGGTTTTAATTTGCATTTCCTTTATTGCTAGAGATGGTGAGCATTTTTTCATGTGTTTTCTGGCCATTTGAATTTCTTCTTTTGAGAAAGTTCTGTTTAGTTCACCTGCCCATTTCATTATTGGTTCATTAGTTTTGGGAGAATTTAGTTTTTTAAGTTCCCTGTATATTCTGGTTATCAGTCCTTTGTCTGATGTGTAGTTGGCAAATATTTTCTCCCACTCTGTGGGTGTTCTCTTCAGTTTAGAGACCATTTCTTTTGATGAACAGAAGCTTTTTAGCTTTATGAGGTCCCATTTATCTATGCTATCTCTTAGTTGCTGTGCTGCACCAGCCCTTTTTGAATTGATTATTTTTGAGATAGGGTCTTGCTTTATGCCTGGGCTGGCCTGCACTATGATGCTCTTTGTGCTTCCCTGTATAGCTGGTACTAGGATTTGAACTCAAGGCCTAGCACTTGTTAGGCAGATGCTCTCCTATTTGAACCATGCACCTAGCCTGGTACTGGGATTCAAACCCAGGGCTTTGTGCCTACTAGGCAGGCACTCTACCACTTGAGCTATATCCCCAGGTTAAAACTTTTTTAAGTTTTTAAGTTTTTTTAAATGGAGAAATAATTTCATTGTCCTTTAGCTCATTTAGATTTGGGGTGGGGGATGTACTGGAGATCGAACCCAGGGCCTTTTGCAAGTTAATCAAGCACTTTACCACTGAGCTACATCCCCAGCCCTCATTTGGATTTTTGAAAGCTTTCTCATAATAATATAAGTAAGGATTTCATGTCACAATTTAGTTCTTTAAAATATATAAGTAATTACTAATATTGGCATACTAAGTAGAATCTATTTGACTAAATAGAAGCAGATAGATTGTAACTGAGTTTTAATGAATTATTCTATTTGAGGACTGTATTTGGTCAGTTTTCCTGGAAGCTGACTTTGGACATGGAGATTTGGGTGCAGAAGGTTTATTGGGAAGTGCTCTGGAAATTACTACCCATGGGGGAAGGGAGGAATCAGGATCAGGCCAAGCGAGAGTTGAACTTCAATGTTATTCCAACCATGGCCTTCGCCATCCCATATAGGAATGTTTGAAGCTGGGATGCCCTTTGGAGTTGTCCTGAATTGAGCCAAGGCAGTAGGCCTTGGTACCTGCTCCACCCTAGAACTGGCAATTGGGTGACAGTTGCTTCTGGGGAGGGGCAGGACCTTGACCAAGGCAGTTCTCTGCTACCGAATATAATTTCCAGGGAAGGTTTCAGCTGTGAGCTAAGACACTGATTACTGGTCCTAAAGTAGGGTCTGAGGGACCCACCATGGCATGCATCCACTACAGATACATGTTAATATTTATCTAGCTCTTATCAAGTATTTGGCAGAAGACAATAGTCATTGTCAATAGAATCATTTAGTGCAACATTAATGCATCCAATATTTGATGTCCTGCTGTGTACCAAGTACTGTGTGAAACTTTAGGAGTAAAATGTCTGTAGAACATGTTCCAGCCTAGCAGGGTTTAAGATACAGAGGGAACCCAAAGACAGTATGGAATTTGGGGGAAGGTCTGGGAGAGTTCATTAATGTTGAGTAGTTGGTAACTCAAGAGAAATGACTAACTAATCATTCAGTTGTACCTTCTTTCTCCAGCTTCATACTTGCTCGGAAAGCTGATCGACTTGCTAAGCTCCATAAAGAAATAAGGTAAAGAATTAATATCTGGAAATCAATAAAAGGTTAGCTTTACATATTCTGTTTGTTGCACTCGCAATAGTAGAATAGCATCAGGAAAAGCACAATACTTCACAAATATTTCCAATCCCCAAAAATCAACTTTTCTGTATTTTTCTATGGCTCCCTTAAGCCAGCACTTGGGTGAAGGGCATAGAAAATTATCAAATTTTACATATTTGTGTTCATGTTATAGTGGTTGAAAGGTAGTGTTTTCCTGTAAGATAGATAGAGAAAATCATAGAATGTGTAAGCTGGGTAGAGCCTTCATGACTTAATTACTTCCCCAAAGGTCCCATCTCTTAACACCATCACCTTGGGGGTTAAGTTCCAACATGTGAAGTTTGGAGTACACATATATTCAAACCATAGCAGCTGTGACAAAGTCAGCAATAGCAGGTAACGCATACATTTTTTTCATTACATCACAGTAAGCTTGACCTTTTCTTTTGGATTTACTGCTTTCCCATCTTATTAATAATAAAATAAATACCAGCCTAGAGTTAGACATTTGGTTTTGATTCCACACACTGGCTGAACTTCTCTAAAGTTCTTATAAAGCAAAACCCTTACTGAATATATCATTGACAAGAGCAATGGTTCCCAGAACTGACTGCATCGAAATCTCTCAAAGCCTATTTTCTTAGGCTTGTAGATTATGATTCAGTAGGCTTGAGGTGGATGGAGTCTGAGTATTTGTATTTTTTATCTAGCTTTTCAGGTGATTTATGATTTATTTAGAAACCACTGTATAAATTCAACTACAAGATGATTTGCATGATTACCTCTTTGGGCCATCATTTAAAATACATTCTATTAATTTTAGAGCCAAACTAATCAATAAATGCATTGCTCCAGCTTAGAATATGGAACATGTGTTTTGTGTGTACAAGTCCCTTGGTTCCATCCCCAGCATCAAAAGAAAATGCATTGGTCCAACATCCTTGCTTTATATATTTGTTGGAAAACATTAGTTTTAGTAGGAGGAAGGAGAGGGGCAGATATAATTTCTTGATGTGCTTGTGTGAACTTGTCCTTGGCACATGTAATAATATGAAATATAGTAAATGATTTATATTCCTGTGGGGGGGGTGCTGGGAATTGAACCCTGGGCTTTGTACATACTAAGCAAGTGTTCTTCCACTGAGCTATCTCCAGCCCTGGTCTGTACTGTCTTATCCAGATGGGAAACCTTTGTTATTTATTTGTTTATTTATTCATTTATTTATTTGTTTATTTAAAGACAAGATCTTGCTGTGTAGTCCAGGCTGGCCTCAAACTCATGACCTGCCTTCACCTACCAAGTGCTGGATTTACAGATACACCACCATGCCCAGCCTTATATTTCTATTGTAACTGATTTTATCATTCATGATTTAAATATTAACTACAGTGCAGGTTGATTGGATTTTAGGTTCCACTATACTTTAATAGAGATTTTATTTTGTTTCCACAAAATAAGTTAGGTTTTTGAAGCTTTTTAGAATACTAATTGTCAATATTCTTATTTTCTTATTGACTCAAAATGTCTGAATTATTACTTCTAACACTCTTATGAAGTAAATAAGAGTCCATCACCTTTTCATAGCCTAGGAAAGAGGGTACCATAAATAGGCTGAGCATAGATTTTGATTCAACACATATTTATTGAGCACCTACTCAGAAGAATAGAACCTTACCTTGCCGTTAATTAGCTGAGTGATATTGAAGGAGTCTTGGCAACTCATTGAGCTTCCTTGTCTCTTAAAATGAGGTTTGTATTAGAGAAAAAACAGAGAGGTGGACTGCAGTACTGAGACTTTTCCCCATTTTTCCTTTCCTTTGATTTTTTGATGTATAATATGAACAGCTCCTTGAAGGAAACCAAACTTTTCCTGACTCTCCGTGGAATTTAAATATCCACCTATGTCTTGTGACTTCATCTCAGTAGGGCATGTGTCTCTCCCTTAAAACCTTCCATGGGAAAAGGATATAGAAATTAGCAACATTTATAATTCTACCTCCTCTTCCTTACCTAATCCTCTATACTCATACAAGAGAAGTTCTGAGAGTTAAATAAATGATATAAGGGTGAGGATTTACAAAGACTTATCAGGTTAGATTTTGTCCCACATTATTTAGGGAAATTGGGGTTGTATTTTAATAATATTTTCTAACATAATTGACGATATTAAATTGTATATTTTTTATTGTTTTTACATTTACTCACATGTGTATACATTGTTTGGGCCACCTACCCCCTCCGCGTCCCCCATAAATTATATATTTTTAAATCTGTGTCTTTTTATTACCAGTAAGCTTGACCCCTCCCCTTCCACACACACAATTTGGCCATTTGTCTTGCCAGCTTTTAATACTTGTTTTACAAATTTGAATTAAACCTTTTGCTTCATTTTTAACAAATATTTTTCCAGTTGCTTATTACCCTTTAATAAATATTTTGAGGCCACGTTCACTTGCTTAAAATTATATAAAGGCTGGAAAACATAAATACAGAACATATATAACTAGATAAGAGTGAACCTATTCATTTAAATCATGAAATAAACCCATTCATTTCTAAAATGGATGAGTTTAATAAATTAGGCCTTCAAAAAATTTTTTTCTCTAGGAGTAGTTGTAAATTTAAATTGTATCTTCTTTCGAGAAGAGTTCAGATAAATATAACTACTGATTTTTCAGACATAATATGTGCCATTTTCTGTAGTATTCATTTATATAATGAATTATAAGGGTAGCTATAGACAGGTAGCATCACATAGCATATTGGGCCCACCCCTCAGATACCTTTTGGAATATAGTGTATCCTGGTCCACAGATCATTTAATTCAGGTGACAGATTTCTAGACTGAAATAACTCTAAGCCTCTTCCAGAATACTTAAAAGATTAAATGAGGCTGGTGTAGTAACACATGCCTGAAATCCCAGCTACTCAGGAGGCAGAGATTAGGAAGATTATGGTTCAAGGTCATCCAAGGCAAAAAATTAGCAAGACCCTATCTCAAAAATAAACTGATGTGGTGATGCATATCTGTAACCTCAGCTACAAGCGAGATGTAGGAGGATGATCATGGTTCAAGACTGGCCCCAGGCAAAAACTTTAGAACCTATTCAAAAAAATAACTAAAGCAAAAAAGCGCTGGGGTTGTGGCTCAAGTGGTGGAGGCCGGCCTATCAAGCATAAGGTCCTGAGTTCAAACCCCAGTACTGTCCCCTCCCAAAAAGATTGTATGAGCTTTATATGTTTGTAGATATTTAAAACATAAGAAGAGGATAGTTAAAAGATACTTACCATCATATGTGCTGTAAACTTATAAGTGGGATAATTCTAGAATTATCCACATACCAAAAAAGTAATATAGAATCAATTCCTAAATATAAATTGAATTTATTCTTTTCTCATTGTTATCGCTAATAGACATCATAGTAGGTAATCAGAGGCAAAAAAGTAAAGAAAAGCCAAGAATTGGTGGCTCACGCCTATAATCCTAGCTACTCAGGAAGCAGAGATCAAGAGGATAGTGGTTTGAAGTCAGCCCAGGCAAATAGTTCGAAAGACTGTATCTCGAAAAAATCCACCACAAAAAAGGGCTGGTGGAGTGGCTGAAGATGTAGGCCTTGAGTTTAAATCTCAATACCAAAAAAAAAAAAAAGAAAGAAGGAAAATTCTGCAGGGCATGGTGGTACATGCCTGTAATACTAGCACTCAGGAGGCAGAGGGATGAGATTGAGGCCAGCCTGGGTGAGTTCTAAACCAGCCTGAGCTCCATAGACCTGCCTCAAAAAAATTCTGTTGACCCTCCAAACCAAATGACTGTTCTGAGGCACAGAAGGTTATTCTGGGTACAGAGATTCATTGCACTGTTTGTTTTGTGTGATTACTGAAGACCATTGAGTTTCATTTTTCTTTTATAAAGTCATGACCAAGCACCCTATAACTCACTGTGTTTATTCTATACCCATCAGTTACTACTTCCTTAACAATTTTTTGGCTGTTTTTAATAGGAAAAGGAAAATCTGTGAGCTGTATGCCAAAGTTCTGGGATCTGAAGAAGCTTTACAAGTAAGATCCCCCCCACACACAGCTTTAATCCCTAGCAAGCTCTGCTCTGCTTGCTCAAAGTGGTAAAGTAAAGCAGTTTCTAGTTCCCAGATAGTCTTAAGAGAATAGAAGGGGAAGTTGTTAACTTGTATGATTAATCTCAGCAATTCCAAAGGCCATTAAAAACTGGTATCAGGTGCATGGAATTTCTGATGCTACAGCTCCCTTGGGTTGTTTAAATGTTCACTGGATAACTGGAACCAGTTGTGATCAGAGTCTTGGAGCTGCAGGTATTATGTCAAGGATGGGCAAGATTGGTTCTCAAACAGAGGTCCCGCCCTTCTGTTGGTGTCATCTGTGCCCCTGTTGGTGTCATCTATGCCTGCTGTAAAATAAAACTCCAGATCATGTGTTGTTGAATGCACAGTAGTACATAGTCCACAAGCCAAACTGAATCTACACTCTTTGCCCAAGTCAAAGTCATACTAATTTATTTTCTCACATGGAATCTCAATTCACAACTCCTTTAGGAATGTCAGAAGAACACACAGTAGCCAGAAGCTCTTTCCAGGGATTATGTCTGTTCAAGTAATAAACTTTCAGAATGTGTTAGGGAAATCAGAGAAGGTTCTCTTATGTCCCCTAAGAAATTCTTTTCATCTTAATTGTCTCCTTTTCAGCAGGATTTCCATCATACACTTTTCTATCATAGAAACGATTTCCAGATTAGGAAAAAGATTCTCAGAAAAGGCCTTTCTCAGGCACTGTGCTTGTCCCCTGCTTCCTCCCTCCTCAGAAGCAATGCCTGGGTAGATGGGGAAGTAAAGCACATTGCTTAGAGATTTCTAGAGATTGAAGCAGACCTTTCCATAATCTGGTTGTTGATGGGGTTTCCTGAATTTTTAGCTTCAAACTTCTTCAGAATCTGCATGAAGATGCCCCCCCCCCATATTGGAATACTACCTAGTCAAGAGGTTGGGAATATAAAAGTGTTTTGATACTTGGTACCATCATGTTTCCCCTTTGGAGAGTTAAAAGGCAGGGTCATTTTTATTTTTTTAATTTTAAAGTGAAATGCATAAGATTCTTCATTGTTGACTGGTAGCATTTCATCTTTGTTTTCTCCCCCACTGGACTGCAGCCAGTGCATTATGAAGAGAAGAACTGGTGTGAGGAGCAGTATTCGGGGGGCTGCTACACGGCCTACTTCCCCCCTGGGATCATGACTCAATATGGAAGGTACTGCCTATCACTACATCAATTACTATAAGACCTGTACCACATTTAAGACAACTGCATTCAATGAGAATTCTAGAAATTGTTGACATTCCTGTTTCCAAGTCCCAGATAGATAGTCAGTTTGTATCTTTCTGGATGTTCCTTGAAAAACAAGGCTATCAACATGTGGAATGATTGCAGAGCACTGGGGAGGACTCCAAATGTGAGCAGTACTTGTGAGATGTAGAAACTGTTGTGTCCTCTAATGGGCCTTCTTGAGCTCAGCTTAACATTTAGTTTCACATGACCACCAAGGTTCCTTGGTACCAGTCTACATAGAAGGACGTTGGATGTGTTTATCCAATGTATCTGTGTGGGCAACAGAGGAGCATCAGATACTTCTCTTCAGAGGGAGGAGTCCTTACTGTATACAGCTAAGGTGTGAGAAGATGAGGTCCACACAAAAGTTGAGGGTCTACCTTGACTTTGAAAACCCTTGATCTCTAGTAGCCATGATGTCTATGCCTCATAGGCATAGTATCCAGGGCCACTTGTTCAGTTACAGTAGATACCACATTCAAGGAAGCCCAAAGTGTCAGTCTCCTACCAGGTATTTAGAACTCATTCACAGCCCTCCCCACCTATGTGTACTATACCAATGTGGTGGTGGGGTGGAAGGGAGGCATTTTTAGCATAAGTAAGTAATATGGTCTGGTCACACAGGTGGCATTGTACCTTCATCTGGTTCCCAGAGGAGAGAGCTGGAAAGTTAAGGGTAACATTTGTCCACTGAGAAAGAAGAAGCACTTGTGAACCCGTTCTTTTCCAGAGCTTTTTGTCTATTTTTCTTAACTGAAGTAAACAACCTTTGTTAGTGATAACAAGATTGGTGAACTGGATTAGTTCTGGAGTCATCATAGAAGTCTGGAAAATGGGACTAGAATCTGGAAGAGATGAAATGCAAGTCTCCTAAATTGGAAAAAGGAGGACTATTGGGTTGAGGGGAAGGCCTTTGGGTAGGTGGATGTGCAGCTTGGGAGAGTTCATGGAAGTGGTTGTAGATATGGCAGGAGTCAATGAAAAGGCTGGAGGGAACAGTTCTCCATTTAGTTCAGGCCTTCCTTGGTTCTCTTTGACAGGACCTCTTTATAGAAAGAGTCTCATTTCCTTGCCCTTAGCTGGTCCCCCAGAAATGTTCAGAGAAATTATACACAGACTGTCATTTCAGGAGACACACCCATAAAAACCCTTGGGTATCCCTTCTGCCAGAAATGATAGTTAATATCCTCATATTAAGTAGTACCTTCTATATCTCCCTCCCTTGCCACTACAGTCCCTCCCAACATACAGGGACTGGACTCCATGGCTGTGTATAATCCCAAGAAGAATATACTCCAGGAGAGACAATGCAGGGAGCAAAATGGACTACAAACAGAAAACACCACCATGAAATGTGACTGTGGATTGAATGCATTTCTCATATGCCAACTCTGGCTGGTTTAGAAAAGGTCAACATCACCTTTAGTGTTCAATGATCTGACAGTGTGGTTCTCCCTGGTTTGAAAGTTCAGATTCTTGTGTGCAGGCCTGGGAAGCAAAGAGTAGCCTTTCACTTTGGGCTCAATCTCATGGGCATTTTCTATATAATTTGAGTTCCCTGTCTTCTGCAGGAGTAGATGAGAGCAAGGTTTGGCTCATTTCCCTTCAGTGCCTTCCCAGGTAGGTATTTGTGACCTTTTTGTTCCCTTGAAGGGTGATTCGACAGCCAGTGGGCAGGATTTACTTTGCTGGCACAGAGACTGCCACGCGATGGAGTGGCTACATGGAAGGAGCAGTCGAGGCTGGAGAACGGGCAGCTAGAGAGGTAAGGAAGGAAGCCAAGGTGCTCTTCCTCCTAAGTCATGGGAACATTTTTGACATCTGGTCTTTCTGTTTCTTTCTTTCTTTAAATGGATTTATGCCATGTTTATGAGTCTGGACACTAGTGTCTGTTTTCATCAACACATAATCAGTACTCAGTGTGTATTTTGACACATGCATTTAATGTATAATGATTGAATCAGGATAGTTAGCATTTCCTTCACACCAAACATTTATTGTTTCTTTGGAACATTGAAAATCCTCTCTTCTAGCTATTTTGAAATACACTAAATTGTTGTTATCTATACTCACCCTGCTATACTATAAAACACTAAAATTTATTCCTTCTATCAAGTTGTGTTTTGGTGTATATTATTCATTCTCTCACTATCCCTACTCCTGCTAACCTTCTTAGCCCATGGTGGCCTGTGTTCTACTCTCTATTTCTATGAGATCCACTTTTCAGCTTCTGCATATGAGCGAAAACATGTACTACTTGTCTTTCTGGGTCTGGCTTATTTCATTTAACACAATGTCCTCTAAGCTTATCTATGTTGTTGCATATGACAGGATGTCATTCTTCTTTAAGGCTAAATAATACTCCATTGTATATGTACCATGTTTTCTTTATCCATTCATCTGTCTAGTTCTTGGCACTAATAGAATTTGTATATACACTTCTTTGCCCTTCACTCATGGGGCTTACCTATGGCTAATAGGACTTTGAGTTTGTCAAAATTATACAACTTTATTTCATATACCACGGTTACTTTCTTTTCAAAAGGTCTTGAATGCTCTGGGGAAGGTGGCCAAGAAAGACATATGGATTCAAGAACCTGAATCTAAGGTAAGTTTGGCTACTCCATCTCCATAGACTAGTCATCGCACATAAAACTCACATCTCCTTTCTTTTAGCCTATAATTTCATTATAGAAATCAACTGTTCAGGGGATAGCTATGCATGATTTTACACATACGCTTTGTTTCTCCTTGTCAGCACAAGAGTCTTCTGCTAATGATCTGTGTTCATTCATCTAGGATGTTCCACCAATTGAAATCACTCATACCTTCTTGGAGAGAAATCTGCCTTCTGTGCCTGGCCTGCTGAAAATCATTGGTGTTTCCACCTCTATAACTACCCTCTGGATTATATTGTACAAACTCAGGCTGCTCCCACGATCCTAAAGTTTTACCCTCTGTCTTCCTGCTTACTCGTCCTTAGCACTATCACCAACAAAAAGAAAATGTGGACGAATTACAAGCTGTGTCATTGGGCCATTTAAGTGCACTTGATTTAGCCCTCCTTAGATTAATCTCAGTGTGTTAAAAACAACCCAAAGAATCACCTAATTAATTTCAGTAAGATCAAATTCCATCTTTTCTGTGTAGATTAGCTTGTGTTGATTGGTAAAGCAGAACTGTGTAATTGTGTCTTAATTTCAAAATGTTGAAGTGTTCTTGAGAAACAATTTGTGTCCTGTTTTTCTTATTTTTAATGCAGAGTACCTGCTGACTTCAGAAGTAAAGCATTTGACATTCTCTCTGTAGAGGTGAAGTAGGTTAAGGCCCAGCCTGTGACTGTCCTTAGGGACTTGTAAAGTGTTCTTACAGAGCCCAAAGGTTCACAGCTTCCTGGGGTGACCAGCTCCTACTGTGGTTCAGGAAATAATAAATGAAAGCAGTGTGAGGGCAGGGACATGCAGACCCTCAAACCAGGATGGGGACATTTTATAGGCTTCTGCCACAGAAATCTCCTGAGCACTTGGAATTTCTGTGCATTTTGTAGACATATAGTCTCAGCACTAGCTTATCTGTATGATATCCTCTTCCATTTCTCACAAGGGAGAGTGTTTACTGAGTGATTAAATTGACTTGCGGTGTCTTTCATACAGCTCTCCAGATGAGCAGAGTAAAATAGTGGCAGGAATGTCCCCCAGGAGGCCTGCCTGACTAGCTCCATGTGAGAGCAACTCCAATAGGCATCTTCTCTTCTGGGATGAATGGAACCTTGTCAGTAAAAACATTCTATGCCAATTTCAGGAAAGCAGCATTTTCTGTTTTTATCAGGTGGTCCCTGGCTGTCTGAAGGCCCTTACAGTAGGGGCATATTGTTTGTTTTTCTTTTTTCTTACTATAGAGTTAGATCTCTTAACTTACATATGTCTTCAACATGGTTAAATATTAGCATGCCAATTTCTCTCAAATAAGTACTGAAATACACATCAGAAGTTCCTGATTATTATTAATTGAAACTATCAAATACAGAAAGGAAATTAGGGCTCTATATGATAACCTCACTTTCTTTAGTTATTAAGTTTTTGTAGCAGACATAAAATTGAGTTATTTTTATATATGAAGGTTGAGTTTTCTGTCTTAGGAGTGCCCACTTCTTATCTTTCCCATTTGAAAAACTCTGATTTTTTAAAATCTTCCAAAGGTTTCAACCATAAGACACTTCTTTTTTAAAAATATAAATATATTTTTATTTAAGAGGAATTAAAATATTGCCAGAGGAATAAGCCAACCCAAATTTATTGCAACATTAACTTGCTCTAAATGCAAATTTTTGTCTCTGTAGCCTGATGGGAGGACTTAAAGTCTTCCAAAGTTTTGCCCATCCTAAAAGCAAAGAGCTAGATTTTTATGCCACTCTGTTTTGCAATTCAACAGCATTTTAACTAACTTAAAATTTTTAATGTCTTGATTATACTCCAGTGCATAAGGCGTTGCCCGTTGTTACATCAAACTACTGTGAGAAATTTCATTCCTAATCTCTTGCAGTTGTTTCTGTTGAATTACTGATTAACTCAGTCCTGACACACCTTGGGAAATGTGGGTTTAAATTTATGAACTGGCAACATTGTTTAAACAGTAATCAGACTGTTAACATATTGAAGTAGTGAATGTTGAAGGCCTCCAGAGGCCTCTTCTCTCGCTTTTTAGAAAACCAATTAATTCATCCTACTTACATCAACCCTATTAAGCTACAGATTGGATATCAAAGTGAATGGCAGTCCAGATGTGCTTAGATATGAAATTGGAGCTGAGAACACCCTCCATATGTGAGCTCATCCACCACAAAGACACCATAGATCTTTCTCTGAACCAGAGAAACAAAAGTCAGTTTAAGAAGTTGATAAAACCTAACTCTGTTAAGGCCTCCCCTTCATAGTTCTGAAGGCTGAGTTGGCCTCATTCCACAGTAAGGTCAAGAATTAGATTTTAAAAGTTCATCTGTTTGTCACAGTTAACTGTTAATAAGGCCTTATACTCCACTGAAGAAAATATTGAGGATTGTGACCACATTTTGTTTGTGAACTTGGTGCCTAATGTTCCATGTCCCAAATTTGCCCATTCTACATGTGGGAGTATACATATGTGTGTGATTTGCCATCGAAGTAACATTTTTGCCTATATGGTACGGTTTTGTTTGTTAATAAAGTGCACTACCACTCTTGATTCAGACCTGGCTTCTCTATTCATTCAGCTGCTAGTTCTACTCAGAAGGTTCAATGGCTTCTCATGGCAGGAGGTCACAATGAGGCATTGTCTATGGAGGATAGGCTTCAAAAAGCACTATTGAAACTACAAATTCTCAACATTGGGTTTAACTCTCATGTTATTAAGGTTGCCTGGGAATGGATGAAATGCTGGAATTCTGTAGTGAGCTGGACTAGGCCACAGGTACAAATTCTGAGCCAAGGTTTCTCATGTAATTAGCTTGTGATACCTTGAGCAAATCACTTTGGTTCTGTGCCTCAATATCCCCATTTGGAAAGGGTAGGGTACACTAGATGGTTTCTAAGAATTCTCTTCTTGAAAGCATTGTGTGATTTGCACATTTTATTTCTAGTACTATTTGTATTTTCCCCTGTTGATAAGGCAGGAGCAAGATATTCAGCCTTAGTATCTTGGTTCACTTCTTGTCTTAGATTGGGCTCCCTCAGAACAGACTCTGAGATGCAGAGTAAGGGTAGAAAGTTTTTGGAGACAGCACTCAGGAAATGCACTTAAGGGGGTGAGGATGGCAGGATTGGGCAGAGCGAGAGCCAATCTGCAATGCAGTTGCAACTGAGACCTCAGGATAGCCTAATGGGGAGCTGGGAAAGCCCTTCAGAATTGTGCCCCATGGAGGCAAAGAGATCTGGGCTCTGTGTCCCTTCATCAGCCACACTCTGGGAGGGAGTGTGACCTTTGGGTGAGACAGGCCCAGGGACAATTCGAAATGAGGAACTGCAGCTGTGAACTGAGATAAGCCTGTATTCCCAGCAGCTGGGGGATCCAGGGTAAGGCACTACAGTATCTACTTTAGCCCCCCAGAAAATGGAAAGTTGCATTGTCATGTATAAGAAATCGAGGGCTTGAACTTTGGTTGCATAGACAGAATGGAGCTATCTCTGTGAACTTGTCCCTGTTAGATAAGAGGACTTCTATTAGGAGATTGTACTTCAGCACTATTCTTCATATGGGAAAACAATGAGGATTAGAAGGAATCCTGAAAATGTTTCAATTTCTATCTTGATAAAGGAAGCCCACTACATCTTACTAACAGAAAGATCAAAGGGGAAAATAAGCACTTAAAAACAGGAGTCCGAAAGCCAGTGTCTTTAGGATGATGGCTGACCTATGTGCCCCTCTGAAGAGCATTTATATTCAAATTCTTTAAATGATTGCTGGCCAGTCAAAACACATCTGAAGGTTTGGCTTACATGTCCAAATTGTCCTCAAGTCCCTGATAAAAAGTTTAGTTTTGTATCAGTCGAATGACAAATTCTTTTTGTTTTTTATTCATTTATTCACATGTGCATACATTGTTTGGGTCATTTCTCCCCCCCTCCCCCCTCCCCCACCCTCTCCCCCCCTCCCCCCTCACTTCCAGACAGAACCTGTTCTGCCCTTTTCTCTAATTTTGTTGAAGAGAAGACATAAGCATAATAAGAAAGACAAAGCATTTTTGCTAGTTGAGTTAAGGCTAGCTATACAGAGAGATTCCTAGCATTGCTTCCACGTACAAATGTGTTACAACCCAGGTCGATTCATCTCTAACTGATCTTTACACTGGTTCCTGATCCCCTTCTCATGTTGACCTCTGTTACTTTAAGGTTTCTGTATTAGTTCCTCTGCAGGGGATATCAAATGCTTTCATGTTTTGGGTTTTCTACCTATCTCCATATCTCCCATATGTGTTCTCCCCTTGTCATGTGACCCACGTCCAACCACATTGCTGTATTTGCCCTAGATCTAAAGTCCACATATGAGGGAGAACGTGATTTTTGGTCTTCTGGAGCCTGAGAAAGAGAAAAACAATGGAGAACCAAAGAAATCAACAGGGAGAGATGGCGGACAATCAAACAGCAAACAAGACAAACAAACACTTAAAGAAAAAAGAAAGAAAAAAAATCCAAGGTTCAGGAACAGTATAATTTCAGTCTTAGTAGTTCTGGTGTTACTCCTTTAGCATCCAGTCCTGTTTGTCTGTTTCTCCTAGGCAGGTTTGGAGCCATTGTCTGGTGGTGCTGGAACCCTCCTGTGGCAGGCGGTGGTCCAGTGGGCCTGCAGCACCTGCCTGTTCTTTCAGTGTATTGTGGCGTGGAGAGGACGTTTCAGCTCTCCCTGGTGCTTTACCTCAGCCAAGTGTGTCTCCAGCATCTCAGCAAAGTCCCTGATTCCCAGAGCTCACGCAGTGTGCGGTTGTGTTCCAGTCGCCATTTTGGATCCTCTCAAATGACAAATTCTTTATAGATGCCTTTAATTTTCTGAGAAATGAACAATAACACCAGCAACCATTTTGTAAAACTACCTGCAGTGGATGAGAGAGGCCTGGGTTGGAAGGGGGAAAAAACAGGCAAACACATCAAAAAAAGCCCTCTTAGATCAGCCTTCAAGAAATAACCCTTCCCCTAGCCCATATCTCCTGCTGCATCTTTATCATGATTGATGACAGCAGTGCCAGACTTTATTGGAAAAAAACACATCCTTTCAGTGCGATAGAAATCACCATTCGTCTGCCAACATTTCATCTGTTCTTTGCTATGATCTAATAATTCTGTAAACAGGATAATCAACACTGAATGGGTTAGCATTTTCAAACTATGCTATTTGTTTTACACCAAAGAAGTGGTAAAAATGCAAAACAGTGAAGGTGGCAGAGACAGTGAAGAGGATGAAAATAAAAGGTAATATGTAGTAGCAACAGTTCCCTTTCCTCTATCAGTGCTCAGGGCTTTGTTCCCTTTTTTGACCAAGACCATTCTCTGCAGAGTTTGAAGGCAAGAAAAGTTTCAAAGTGACAGTTGTTGTGAACTGACTGTCTTAAGCTGGAGCCCCGTTTCTGACAGTA